TAATTTATTTTAGATGTAGATTATATACTATGTATAACTTGAATTATACACCAACAACTTTGGGGGTACAAAGTTGAAGAGAAATTATATCTGGGGGTACGCGAACAAAAAAGGTTGAATACCGCTGAGCTAGGTGATAATGGAACCAAGTTTGTTCTGCCCGGACTCAGGTTTGAGACTATCTCTTCCAGGGTGCCCAAAATGTTAGGCTTTAGACCAAAACCGGAAGTAGGACTAACTTCCGGAACATTGTAGTTGTAATAACACCTTTATGATGGATTAAATCCCATTGTCAGAAACTTTAAAATTTTATATTTTATACATATTCCAAGCAGTTCAGGTCCTTCAACAATGTCTTCTCGGACGATCAGCTGTGTTACAATGAGTTACAACGCATTTGTCACCCGGATTATCGTCCGAGAAGATTATAACCGAGTTCAGTCAACTTGAAAGCTTTAGATTTCGAATAGATTTCTTTGTTTGAAAAATTAGACCGTCTCAATAAAATTACGTACACAATAAATCAGATTCATGTCCATACCACGATTGGGATTCGACCCCAAGACTCCATTGCCCAAAAGCACAAAATATTTCTGAAGTCTTTAAATCGCGACCGTAGGGACGGACGTTTAAACTGTGTCATGGAAAGTAATTTTCTTATTTGGAAGTAAGAAAACGTGATGAAGAAATGGGATGTATCTTATTCTTCACGAAGCTGTTTTTGTCCTAACAGCGAATAAAATACGGCTTTGCGGTTCAAACAATCTTCTTTCGCACTTGTCTTAGGGTCAGATTCTGACCTTTCTGTTTACAAAGTGTCTCGTGTTTTTGTGTTCACAGTTTGTTTGCATAACATTTCGTTTGCTCTCGTCTGCACTTATCGTGTTATGATGCTGTGAAGGGCTCCACTGCTCCCTTCGCGTTACAACACGGAAACGTTGCCTTATAGATGGCGTCTTACTTAAAGGATCTTCGGGTTTCATATCGAAATACAGGGTGTTTCATTTAGAACGAAAACCAAAATACAGCAGTATTTGTACGCTTTGGTGATAAATGTATTAGAAAAAAAATGTGTTTCTATACTTTATTTGTTAGGAATAACTTACAGGTGCTTAAAAGTCCTTCACAAGACAAGTATATAACGGAAAATTTGTTGCTAGTCGGCGTATTGTTGTCTTGTTTGGACTTAATTGTCAGGATACGAGTTTGCAAAATGTTTCACAGCAACAAACGATTTTATTGGTAGGATTTGAGGTTTTCACGGCGGTGGGTCTGAAGATGGTTGTCTTGTGCGCCGTGTAGTGTGATAGAAGTTGACCGACGTTTCAGAAGTCCTTGCTGCCTCCATCATCAGGGCGAAGTGATTTTCTGGAATGAACACACGTTATGCTATGCACAGATTTTGCGTAACCGAGACGAGCAGCGACCTAACAACCAATGTGGTGTCGCGGTAGAGACTGGGAGAGTCTATTTATTACACGGGGGTGGAGGGGTGGACATTTTTATGGTTTAATTTTTGAACCACAATGCGTGATTGTTATGTTCCGTTTGTGTGATGGGAAAATATCGGCATATGAGCTCCGAAAAAAAAAATTACAAATGTGTACGAGAAAGTTCTGTTTATGCTATAATTTCGTCTAACAGGTCATACGCGTACGGAGGTCTTACTTGTCTGACAATTTCTCTCCTGCTTTCGCTGGCTTTCACACGTCATGGCTGAATGGACGAAGCCCACGTGGAATTAACTTATCACTCCAAAATCACACAAGCGGCCTAATGGGACCTCCACTCACAGTGGCGAATCTCGGGATTACAAGACGGGGCGTGTGGAAGATGATAATGTTGCGTGTCCATTGCATTACCACTGAGTACAGTGACGTCACGTAAGTGCCAGCTGAGAGATTGCGGGGATATTTTAGTGTTCTGTACCTTACCATTTCGACTGCTTAAAAAACACCCCTTTTTTACAGGGATATTCTATATTTATCCGTCAAAATAAAATAAAATAAAAAACAAGTAACAAATATCTTATTTAGTCAAAATGCTTATCATTTGTATTAAATTGGATGACCTATTCGCGTAGATGACTCTCAAGATAAATTTACAAATATAAAATTAGTGGAATTTGAAGTTCTCAAAATGGCTTCTGTGTTGTAGAGCCATGTAGTCTGATAGAATTTTACCGACGTTCCACCTGTAATACCAACAAAAACTGCCATCTTCATAACTTTGTATGAATTTTACCTTTTTTTTACACGGTCAATATCACCGTAATTGATTTTTATAATTGTAACCCTGACGATGATGATAGTAGAAACACGTTTTTTTAAAACCGTTCTCTCGTGTTTCTATCCCAGGTTCATGGGTAGCACGCCACTGATCGACCACGCCACAGACCGACACGGCGCAGGTCTGAGGGGGGGGGGTGGACGCTTGCCGTCTGCGCACGCCATTGTGGGTAAAAGTAGTGAGCGACGCCTGGAGAGACGCTGTTCCTTCGGAGACGCCACTGGACGGAGGGCGCCGGTCTGCCACCTCTTGTGGTGAGTGACGTTGACTTGTTTGTTTGTTTGTTTGCTTTGTGTTGTTCAGTCACGCTAAGACAGAAATATATTATTTTTATTTTCAGATTATATACTGTGCTTACAATGATCGTAAGTTATATAAAATCATTCATTCAAACAAAACTGTTTACACTTGAAAAGACACTTAGTGACTTTTCAAGTGTAAAACAGATGATTTTTACATGTCAATACACTGCTCGGTATTCAGGTTTTAAAGATTTTATCGTAAGATTTAAAGTTCGCATTAAAATTACACGGATATTTGGGGCTGTTATATTAGGTTGAAACTCGACGTACGTCACGTGTGGGCTAATTATGGTCATTAAAAATATTGTACTCTGTTGTGTAGAAGTGTTTTATTGTTTTTTGTTATTTCAAAACTGTGTCGTGTAAAAACTGTAACAATTCATCGATCGATACATTAACACACCTTAATTATTATTTTTTTTACTTTTATCTTGTCGACAGTTAATAGAATTGTTAAGTGGGTTTCGAATAACATGTCTTCCAAACTCTGTGGAACAAATTATTATCGCCTGTTGAAACAATAAAAGTTGCAGTCAAGGACAAGGAAACCGTGTAGCATGCTAATGTGTGTGTGTGTGCACGTGAGTGCGTGAGCTTGATTGTTATAAATATTTTCAGCTGATTTGATTTAATTGTCAGTGATAAGATTTCTCGCATACTTTCTAAACATTAGTAATAAATACGTAAATTTTATTAAAAAAGTAAGGACCGAACGTGTAGTAGTTTTGTTTAAAAGTTTTTATATCCCTTTAAGGGTAGTGAGTTTCGTAATTAACAATTTTATCGTTCGGAGACACGCAGAGTAAAGCCAGGAACTTGGTTTTTATATGTTGGTTGCTGATTTTAAAGGGAATAGGATATAATAGTTAACGAGTTTAAATGGATGAGACATAGAATTAAGTCAGGATCTCATATTTAAATGTCGTTACTGGAAAGGACGTATCAGGACATTCATGCCACTTTGGGATGCTGAGGATCGCTGGACCTGGTAAATGAATATGTGGATGACCAAGTCATTTATAACGACAGTAATTGTATTAATAATTAAACCATATTCGTAGAATAATATGTTTTATTGATTATCACATTAATTTCTACGAAATATAAGAAATAATTTTCTCCTCAACGAAACCACAAGATTACTCTGTTTTACAATACAAAAAAAATTACCGAATTAATTTATTTACATCACAAGGAGTAAGTTGATCCCTGATTATCGAGGCGGTGTGTTCCTCCGAAACTTTAGTATCATCCTACAAGTTCACACGTCGTCACAACCCAAAAAAAAAAAACGAGGTCGAATTCTTTACCGCTGTTATCACTTAAAATCGTACGTTTTTATTTCGTTGTTTATTTATTATTTTTATCACAAACTTCGTTTCTTCCTTCAATCCCTTCCTCCCTTTTTCTACATTTCTTTCGTTCAACCACTTTTCCTCTAATTTATATCTGTCATTGTCCTTTATATTCATTTCTTCTATCTTACCTGCAGTCTCATACATTTTAAATTGTGCGTACTAATTGCAACACCCTGTATCATTGTCCGCACTGTGCCTCGGATACTCGAGCAAATTGTGCAGAGACCATGAGGAGAGGATTCTCCTTTTTTTTTTGTCGTTCCCGGAGCGGAACTGCAGAATTAGATTATCTTACACCGCACATGTGGGGAGAAGCCCACCAGAAGCATTTGCTGCTGCTCGGGGAGGGTGTGGTTGCATCACGCGTGTTCCTTTGACGTCGACCGCCGAAGGTGTCTGACGAAGTTGGGGAACTTCGTTATTAGTCCTTTTATGACCGATATGTTTACCACATGGGGAAGATTCTTTCTAGATAAACTTTGTTTTCATTAATGCTGACGGATTAAAGCAAATTTATTTCCCGTTGTTGATAGACGGGTTCACGTTTGTTTCTCAGAATTTCTCCTTAACTGTATCTGACGGAAGGGAGTGTATTAATGTATTTTTACCGACTCTGTATCAACTATATAAATTACATCCCGATACCGGAAAATAAGATACAGAAACAATGGTTTCGGTTTGGGTTTAACGATGACGTTTCAAATCTAAATGTTAATTTTGCATCTAAGCCTTGTCTTTTTGGATGTTGCGCTGTCTAGTCTGGTAGAAATTGGCTGTCGTTGCAGGATGAGCGCTCTGATGATGGAAGCAGTAAACACCTGCGAAACGTCTTGTCAGTTTCTGCAGACAATTACTCAGGGAACTTTGCCCGGTTGCTAAGACCCTGCATTTGAGTTTGTTCTAGTTTCAGTGGAGCGTTAAGGAGGGCCTGAACGCTTCGTTAAATAAAGTATTTAAAGACAAACTGCTGCCATTTTAACCGTCTCTTAGACTCTTGTGTTAAGTTGCTTGGAGCGGCTTAAATTACAAGTGCTCTTAACTTCGGGAGAAACACACATTTTTCTTCCGAGCAGTTAACGTAGTCCGCGAGAGTCGAGACGCTAGGCTATCGATCCAGGGTGCAATTACGCAGCGTCACTTGTCTTATCCGAGTTGACATTTCGCCACTTTGTTACCTGAGACGTCACAACACTTAACGAACTTCTATATTATGATCCCTGGAATTCAGAATGCCGTTGGAAGCGCGCAGATTGACAGTCGCGGTTCTCAGATGATTTTGGTGCATTCTTTTTCTTCTCAAAATTTTTACCGAATCGTTCCCCTTTACTCCATTTTATACGTCATCCGTGACAAGAAAATTAGAGTCTTCTTGTACGTTGATCCATGCATTCTCTTATAAATAATCGTCCTGATGATGGAAACAGTAAGCACCTTTGAAACGTCTGTCAATTTCTGCGAGACTACACTTCGTAACATTTCATAAGACAGTAGTATTCATACTCGCCGCCCTAAGAACCTCAAATCTCACTAGGTGACAATTTGTTTAGAATAGAATGACATATCAGATCTTATATCATTAGTTATTGACATCAAACTGGAGAATGGCTTCGTGCAGTGGAGTCCGTGAGAACCTAAGAGTCGCTAAGCTACTCAATAAATCCCCCTCCCCACTTTTATGAGACCCAAAAATTTATTATCGTGGTCATAAGGGCTTGGTAGTGTACCCTATTTTGAACCAGATGAATACAGATACTCATAGTCTATTTATATTCAATTTTTTAATATGCGTGCTACATGCCCCAAATATCTCGTATCGTTTTGTGTGATCATTCGCGTAATATTTTACAAAATGTACAAAATATTAATCGAAAATTTTAAGTTGGCGATACCTCTGATCTGCGGTTACCAGCGAAGAACTCTGATGACGTCACCACCCATGTGGCCGCAAAGAACAGTTTTGGAACTTCGGTGAACTCCAAGGAGTACCAAAAGTATCTGTTTGAAAGAAAAAAGTTTGTTAGATGTGCGGGATTAGAACCAAGGATCTTTATTCTAGCAACCCAACGAAGTGTGCGTCTTATATTACATCGATTTAACCCATTAGGTTTTTTGTCTTCGTCTACTGAATTCATCTCCTGAGACCTGAATGTTCTGGGGGGGGGGCATTCTATTTGCATATCCTTCCTCTGTTCAGAATCTGATTCACTGAACTAACAGCCACGCGGTGTAACACATGCACGCGATACTAAATTACGTCCGATTTTCGCTACCTGTTGGAATGTCACTTATGCCGCTCTTGTATTCAGGACCCACATTACCGAATATCGAACTAATCAACGGGTGCACTTGAACCGTAATGGCGGTCTCATTACATAGTGCAAAGTTCACTCTGCGAATTTCAAGCTGGCCATTCGACACGCTTTGTGCCCTGTGAAATGTTAGTTACAAAGATATCCACTCAACTTTTGTAAAAAATATTATCTCTGTTTCGCTTTGTGGCATCACCAACACAAGTTTTCCATTATACAGGGTGTTTGTTTTATGTCGGATTAATTTGATTGATACACATCGTTACTTCGAATGTCCTGTGCTGATGTATTGATGGTCCTGTCTCTTCTGGTTCAGTTACTTTACATATCTCACTACAATCTTATAGGAAATAATCACTCGGTAGTAAACATGTCACCCATCTCAAGATTTAAGTGTATTCGGGATTATTATTCTTCGTCGATTCTCCTGCGTGAATATCATCAATGAGCAAGTGAATGCATTTTATTCAAACATATAATGCGATGAAGGATATTATTAAAATGTCATATGAATTTTTCTCTCCCATGCGTGCTATATTCCCGTTAATCGCGTCCTTTTAATGTTTGGTGTCACATGTGATATCTGTTTTATCATCAGTCCTGATATCGCGTCATCCATCGTCAAAATATTCTCTCCGACACTTTGTTAGTTGTATTATCGCTGACACTAAAATGGAACTGAATTGTTATTGTATTATTTATCCCATATTAAAACCGGAAAAAACAAAGACATTTTTGAGATAAATAATTGCCTTTCAGAGTCGTGTGCAAACAATCCAAGGACCGTTTGTAGTTTTTCAAAAATCTACAGCGTGGTTTTGTTCAACTATCGAGCATTTTATTGGATTGAAGATTGATTGTCTTGTAATATCAGAGCTGTGTGTTTCTAACACTTTAACGACGACCATTTGTTTGTGTTCGCGATGTTCGGGGTCGGGTTCAAAACATCTGAACGAATAATAGCAAGTTAACCTTTTTAAATCGAAGCCAGTCTAAATAGCATTTAATGGGGTGGGGGGGGTGGGGGAGCAATTTTGTTTGCTCTGAGAATCGTACAAAGCTCCCAGCATTCTCCATTCTGTAGGCAGAATGGAGAATTGTTTATTGTTAAATCAGTTTATAATTACGATTACAACTGGACCTTAAAGATTCACATTTAATTTATAAGTAGAGGTATTCGTGTTATACTGAGGCCTGAAGTAGACCACGACAGTTTCGTTCTGTGGTCCGCTGTTCATAATGGTTGCGTCATTTCCATTTCAAAAACAAATGCGTATTTTATGAT